TGACCCAGCTACCCACTTAAAATAATGATTACAAGAAAAATTAGATTTTTTTTCCTTCAGGTAAAAATAAAAAGTCTTCTCATTATTTGTCTTTAATAATCAGAAATGTAAAGGAAGCAGTGGATTATTGGATGTAATTTTGTTGAAAGGACAAAGTTTGAAAGAGTGGCTAAGGTACAATAGAAAACTATGTTCTCCTTACGTTGGTTGTCCACTTGAAATAGGACTTCAATTCATCTCTTTATCTAAAACCAGGATAACAAGTCTTGGGGATTATTACATATCATTTTGTGACCTTGTACACACCCTGATAGCTGGTGCAGTCAAATACATCGTAAACCTAGCACAGGAGTCTGTGTTATCATGATTGCACTTGTTTCCTGATGCAGTAATCCCACTTTATGAACCCATAGCCCTGGTCTGTTTGCCTTCCTCTTGTTTATCAGTAAATGTATGGCTGCTATTGATAATATTGTGGAAGCTGTTATGGTCTTTAATGGTGTTGAAAGGAAATGTGCTGTAAATTGAAGTAAGGCTTTTGTAAACACTGGCGAGAAAGGTTGTTTTTTTTTGCAACTGCTTCCAGTGACTTTTTGAAGCACATGAATATGTAAAAGGCTATGTTCAGTGTGTTGATCAATGAAACAAACAAATATTACATTAAAATTTGCACATTGTTGGAGAGGACTTTTATCATCATCCTTCCTCCCCTGGTACAATTCCCCAGTCAGTTTCTAACAGCTGTGATCTATACATAGAAGATGATATCATACCTGTCCCAGTGTTTCATTTGGGGGTAATACAATGGATAGGACTAGTTCTGCTGTGTAAGGTGACCTCAGCTATCTGTTAGAGGGTTGCCTATTAAAGTTAATCTTGATTGCCTTTATGATTAAGCACACTGCATTCTTTCATTTATTTCCGCGCATGACATCACTGTGAACCGATGAGAATCTTGTCTTTGTTCAATGACTTTATGAAGCTCTTTGGATTTAAAATAAAAAATGCTTTCCATTCATTCCATTCCATTCATTTATGAAATGGCAGACAAAACTCTCACCGTGGCATAAAAGGTGGGTATGAATCGTGGAAGAAGTTTGTAAATCGCTCATCATAAATCTCTCATAATTCATAATAATTGATACTACTGTATGTTTTCTGCATTTATTGTGATCCGGTTTTCTGCTTTAATACAGGATTATAACATTAATAGTTGTGACACTTGAAGTCTAAAACACGGTTTTAGAATTTTGATTAAGATGCATCTTATTAATCAAAGGATGTTAATTAACCTTTTCTTTTCTTTGTGTAATATCTATTAAATATTTTTTAACTAAATTCGTAAGTAAAATATAAACCCTTTAAGCCAAGGATGTCAGGTATATCAGCCTCACATGGTTTTCATTTAAATATTTACTGAACTTCGAGTGTTTCATTTTCAGTTCTGAATGCATTTGGGAATCCAGTGTCTTACACGTTTTCAGCTGTTTCTTTTATTTGGAGAATGTGAATGCTTGAAAGGGATATATGTAATCAACTTGTCCTTTTTGCACAAATAGAGCTTGAAATTGAGAAATATAGAGAGTGTGCCACTTAAATTGTTGAAGATTTTTTTTTGTAGTTTCTCGATTGTTTTCTTTTTTATATGTAAGCATTTCCCCTCAGAGCCTCTGAGAATGACGACCGTGAGTTACAGTTGTTTTGCCTATATGTGCGTTATTCCCTTTTGGAATTCTCACTGGATGTAGCCACTTCTGCAAATGGATCACATAGGTGTGATGACCCTGAGTCTGTCTGGTGACCCTGTCTCTTCCGGGACATGAGCTGAGGCTCCTCAGGACTAGTCCGATGAAGCATCTCATCCTCCAGGCAACTTCTCACACAGGATAAACAGGATAAGACAAGCCACCTTGAATGATGCTTGTCCATTGCTCAAGGGGAGCGTGGTCACATCTTTCCTTGCTTTTGTTTTCAATCGGAATGTGTTTTTGTATGCAGATTTTTAATTCTCTCCGAATGCAAACCACTGGCCATGTTTTTAATAAAGTATTTTGGTTAGATCAAGGAACAATACCATTACTACTCAATCACCGAACCTGTCTTCTTACTTAAAATGTAAGTAATGCTATCTCTATGCCCTGTGATTGGTTGATGCAAACAGTTACAAGGTTGTGTTTTCATTGTGATTCAGTATATACAGCAAATGCCAAATGATTTGATTTGATATTTTTGGAATATTTCTTCTATCAAGTTGCTTATAATATTATTGTGATTAAAGTAAGATCATCTTTTAAAAAGGAAAACAGAAAGGCCCTGAAAGCTTTTGATGTCAAGTGGGAGTGACCTGGGAATTGTCAAGAACCAGTTTTTTTGTTTTGCTCTGTTAGAATTTGGGGAATATGGGAGTTGGTTCTCTTTTTGCCCTCCAGTCTTTGTGTACTTTGGCCAGGAATGTAATGACTGTAACATTGCTTGTCCTTGGTATGGAAAGGTTGTAGATATGGCAGTGCAAGCTCCCTTAGGAATAAATATTTATGGGGCTAAAGCTTTTATTATACTTTCTGAGTGAACTACCTCGGTATTATTTTCTTTCTACTCGTGTGTAGAATGTTTTCTCTGAACGTTAATGGACCTTTAGCAGTGTAATTAGCTGTATAATAGAATAACATTTAAAATATTGCAATTTCAAATGCTTTTATTTTTTTCAGTATTTTCTGCTGTTATGCTGCAAAGATCTGTAGCCCAAGAGCACAGCCATCCTAAAATAACATAAAACAGTGTTTGATATTTTATTAGAATGGCAATAACTTTTTTATTAAAAATAGTTTGAATTTATATATGAATTGGTTTATTTACATACATGATACCACACTGTAGCATGTGGAACTTTTAGTTTGCTCAGAGTGCATTTTACCTTATAAAATCCAAATGTTTTTTTGTGAACAGCACTTTAGTGCAACTGTCTCTTTCTGTACTGCATCTTCCTTGATTTCTGAGCTCTTGAACAGTTTTCTCTCAGATCAGGAGAACGATAGAACTCCCTTCTCATTTTCATTCATTAAATTGGCAGCAGTGTTTTTCCCTATGTCCTGTAATTGTTTGTTTTTTTTACAAATCATTTCCAATGGAATTTAATGACTGCAGTTCCCCAACCTCAGATTGCATTTTACTAAAACTAATAGGAGCTGTGTTCTGCTATGGATACATTTGCACTTTTAACCCTCTACCTACTGTACCGTAAAAAAGACCCTGAAATCTGTAAATGGAAATTCCTTCACATACTTTACCCTGCCACTATCTAATATCATTTCTGAAGCTATTTGCCATTTAGTGTACTGTGTAGATTATGATCGGTTTATCTGGGTTTTTGGAAAGAAATGCAGACTATTACTTTTTGAAGTCCCAGAGAAGCCTTGATAGGAGCTCTGCTGTTGGTGGTGTTGGTGGCCTTGCAGCGTGAGAAGAAAGTGGATGCCCTTACTTTTGGAATATTTTAGAAGTCGTATCTCCATTTTTCGTTTGCTTATCTAAAGGTTGTGGTGAACGTTTGATTGATTAGGAACTGGCAGTTTCAGAATATAACCGCAATGTCTGGAGAGGAGTCCCGACCCATCTTCATGAGTCCAGAGGCTACTAATTACTAATTAACTGTTGCACAATTAAAAAGGATGAGTGAATTACTTAAAGGAATTGTTGCTTGCAAATTTACTTGTCATATTTCTTTTTCCTCCGCCCGCTATATATATATATTTTTATTTAGCAGAGAGAAAATAGACTTTAATTGATAGTGATTACAGCAGAAAATCACTAACGTGGCACTGCTGATGATTTCAAGGAAAGGTCAGGTATCTGTTTTATTCCTCTGCTTTTTAACATCAAAGCAACAGAAATACATCTCTGCTTTCCTCCAGTTATTTACTAAAACCGGATAATTATTGCATTTGAATATTACTGTCATCCATCAGCATTATTTCTTTAACACTGAAAATACATGCTTGTAAACTTTCGTATCATGCTGGTATCCTTTCAGAACTGTCAAAGCAGCAATATGTTGGAGTTGGGATATATGGCTTCACTGTTGCAGTACATTCTTTAGAGCATGGATTTGGACTGGGAACTCTGTCTACAGAAACTTCAACATTCATATACAGTCATGTGAATTTGATGTTTTATTTTGTATTTTGATAACAGCAAACTAATTAAAAATAATTTAAAAATATTTAAAACCACAACTGGATACTTAAGACCTTTTATAAAGCAAGTATTGAGTGACGTCACATTTACTTAAGATACAGTTTCCATTTTTTGGGGGGAAAAATAAACAACATTAGGGTAAATTGTGGCTCTCAAGGTCTCTCAAAGCAGAAACGGTTTTGTTTGTTTGACCTTGACACAGAAATGCTTTAAAAGGCAGTAGTTTATAAAGAGCTAACAGCATTTTCAATGAATTTCAAGAACAAGAAGTTCCTGTGCTTATGCATAGGACACCATCCACCTCTTTCCTGTCTTGCTGGTTTCTTGTACTTTTATGTTCTGAGGACTTCACCAACAAAACAAGAAAGGATCAATAATTAGACCAGTAGAAATATGTCCATTTGATCACCAATCTCCAGTGTGAGTGGCTGTATTTGGTATTTCTGGATGAATTGAAGACATAAAACACACATAGACAAGACATAAAATACACTGTCTCGATTTAAGTAGTTCCTTTCATTGGCCACTCACAGCTGAACTCTGTATCACAGCTTTCCATAATTATGTATCTTACCTTTGTTTGGATTATTAGGGGACGGGAAAGTACAGTTGATATTTTAGAAAAAATCTTTAATTACACTAAAATATTAGGCCTGCATTTTGACATTGGCAGAATAACCTGTACCTTCAATTGTTTTTTTTTTTTCCCCCAGAAGAAAAAGGAGTGAATGTCTCGTACAATCCAGAGTGTGGGGCTCCGTGTTCGAGATTTTAATCCTGTAACGATTGGCTGTCCCTTTCTTCAGGAGGCTGTGAACCCATCCCTGAATCTGATCTGGAGGAGGGCGCTGCAGATCAGGAGTCTGTTGCCACGTTCCCTAAACAGAGACATCTCACGAGGAAGAAAGGCAGGCAAGGTATGTCAGAGGAAATGGTAGTTATGTTATAGGAGTCCTGCCATGACACCTTTCTGCGCACAGGTACTGCTAAAGCATGCCCAGCGGAGCTAGATTTGGTCAGACATCCCGAAGGAACTTTATTAACAAATGAATTGCAATATAAGAAAAATGTTGTCAGATTTTGTAGGACAGATTGTTTCTACGACATGGGAAAAAAAACAATCGTAGATTGTTGATTTTGCATACTTTTAAAGGAAATAGACAACTACCTTTTAAATGAACCCATGAAATGTTTTTATTTTATATATATAGAGAGATGTTTGTCATCACCGTCACTCTCTAGCACGTTGGATTGGAGTAGTTGATGAGGTGTTGGTAACTTGTCATCTGGCATGGAAACAGGCAGGTATTCAGAGTGAAGTTTCCTGTGTCTAGATTCCAGCGGTCTAACAGGAAAGTAGGCTCACTGCTACACACAGCCACCAGGCAGCAGCCAAGGAGTTTTCTCTTTCTGTTATTATCTTCACATTTGTGCCATTTTTAAAAGACATTGAATTTTTGTTTCTGTTTTTTCTGAGGAGTGATTGCAATTAGAGTTAGGCCCTACTTAGCTGGACACGACTCAACAGAGTGGTGGCTCTGTGGCTCGGGATCTGCGCCTGTGACTGGAAGGTTGCCGGTTCAAATCCCGCGGCCAGCAGAGGAATCCTATGTTGGGCCCCTGAGCAAGGCCCTTAACCCCAACTGCTCCAGGGGCGCCGTACAATGGCAGACCCTGTGCTCTGACCCCCAGCTTCTCTCCCTGTCTGTGTGTCTGTGTCTCCATGGAGAAAAGCTGGGGTATGCGAAAGGACGAATTCCTAATGCAAGAAAATATATAAGGCTAATAAAGAAACATTATTATTATTATTATTATTATTATTATTATTATTATTATTATTATTATTATTACATTCTAAAAAAATGTTTTTCAGATGCCAATGACTTGTAAGATCTGACTTGTATTTGAAGGCACGTATGAAAGTTATAAATTGTGGGAAAAGACGCTATAGACAGTTTGTTGGTGTGAATTTCAAGTTTTTTCTCCGCGCTGGTAAAATCATCCAGGGTTTCCCAAGCAGCTCCAGTTTCACCGTTACTTTAATTTTTCTTTGTCACTCAGCTATTTGTAGAAAACGCAGACCTAATCCCCAGCCCACTTTAATTTAGCAGGTGTCCGTGTTTGTATTCCCCTCTTTTTTATTTGGTTTCTCTTTATCTTTGCAATCCTGTGTTTTCCTTTGTGGAGTTTTATCAGGGTGATTTCCATGTGGTCGTTTTAGCAGCCTCAGATTCTAGGATTAGAGCCGATCTGGAAGGAAAGATGGGGGGTTGGTATTTCTTGGTTTTTGACTTCTGGGTAAGTGAAATGCACCTGAAGTCAGACTTAAGCTGTTCCCCCTGTATTTACTTGTCTTTTAGTGTACAACAAAGCTGTGATTGACCGCTAACTAATATTGTGTGACTGAGTCTGTGTCCTGTAATGAGACAGGTAGCAGATTGCACTTTCTCTTTTCAGTGCCATAACCATTGTTTTTGCACTTGAGCCCTGTGCTTTCGAAACATCTGTTTCTACTCTTTGAACAAGTTTCCCCTCCTCTTGCTGATTGGATCTAATAGCTAGTGAATTGCAATTTTTCCGGTCATTATCAACTGAGATTTTGGTGGAGCACTTCAAATTATTTTTAATCAAATATATTAAAAAACTGTATCCCTAAAAGGTTTGACGGTCTTGGAAAAAAGGACCCAGGCTACTTTCTTCTATAGTGACCCTTCTATTAAATTCAGAGTCGGAGAGAAATTTATTTTACAGTGTTTTAGAAAGTATGTAACTGTAGTGCTCATTCAGTTTTATTCCCAATCAATATTTGTCCTTTTTATTCACTCATATTTTTATGTCCGTGACTAATCTCTGGTTTAAGACAAATATTCATGTGTTTTTCCATCTGTCCGCTCTGTTACAGATAGCTCTTTGGTGTAAATTGAAGTTATTGCTCCAGTTTATAAATTGTTGATGGTTGATCTAGTCAGTTTCTCAGGGTACTAGCTTTTGAGAGCAATGTTGTTTTTCATCACCCTTTTTGCTAATATGCATGGCAAATTTCTGATGTATTATTTGTAAGTATCTGCCAATTTATTGGCAGATATATCCTCTGCTCTGTGGTTTCTCTACAGATTCACTGGTTGTTTGCTAATTTTGTTTGTTTCTCTTTTTATGCATAGTACAAGCACCACAGTGTATTTCACAAAATGGAGCTAAAATGTGCAGCAGCAAAAGAAAGGGTCAGCATCCTTTTGTATTCAGTAGAAGTATTATATTGCCATTGCGAAAGATGCGTGATCTCCAAACATGAGGTGTTTCTGTGGTGTATTAAAGGGCACATGCAGTATAAACCCCGCAATCTTATGTAATTGTTATCAAATGGTGTTCTCACCATTTGCCAACAGTGGAATACCAATATACCTGTGAACGATATACAGTTACGAGGCATGGCTACTCTGTGCTTAAGCGTTTGCCAGCAGGATACAACTAAAGGATTGTAGCATTCTGGTTTGCGCGATGATGCTGCATGCCAAGCAGGGCATTGGTCCAGATCACTATGCACTGTGCTGTCCAAAAGAGTCATTTCAAATTGAGACTGTTTCAAGAGTCAGGAGAAAGCAAATTGTCCCTTTTTATGATAAAGAGTTCTGCCTAGAAAATATGAAACGAATCAAATCAACAACAGCTAAAAGCATCGAAACAGCTGATCTAATACACAGTTACTCACTCTTGTTTCTTATTTCGCATCTCAGATCAGTTTGATTTGTATCTTTCTATGCCAAAGAAAATTATTCATTTAAAAAAGCTTATCATACTTCATATAACTTATCTGTATGTTTTTCACAAGAAAAAAACCCATGATGTATACTCTGTTGCTTCAGAATTAAAACTAATGTATAATGGTCACTATAACTTGGATCCTTGTGATAACACTAAGCCACTGACAAAAACATTCCACCATATCCATTATAGCAAGCAAGAAATATGGTTTGTTCAAGAATGTTGGTACATAGGGACTTAAGAAAAAGCTACAAATTAGAGGTCAGTTGGCCCATGTGGTCCCTTTGATAGGTAATTGATCTACCTGTATGAAACTCATCCAGTCATTTCTTACAAAAAGACATGGATTTGGTTCCAACAGCAATGTGGGGTCGTTGGTTCCATATTCCTGCACCCCTTTGTGAAAAGAAGTGCTTCCTGTTCTTAGATTTAAATACATTTCTACACAGTCTCTACTTGTGGCCCCTGGTTCATGTGTCATTATTGATACTAAAGAAGTTTGCTGGGATGACTTACAGTAGAAGAATGTGACTACTTCAGGTCCCTTCTTAGTAGTACAAATTAGTAAGTACAGAAGTACTTAAAAGTAATAACAGTATATTGCCAGAATTTTATTTGCATGAATGCCCACATTTATGCTCAATGTGAACGGTGTATTGAGACTGAAAATATACCAAGATTCTTTGCTCTTGTTCTGTTGATGCTTCAGCATCTAGAGTTTGGCACGCTGACTGGTCCAGCAAAAATTACATTTTGCAAAGAGTTCCCAGGGCTGAATACAAGGATCTTTTGTTTGGCTTAAACGGGGGAAAAAAAAACAACATTCAGCATCTTTCAGTGGTAGTGAGATTAGTAAATACTGAAAGTAAACCAAAAATAACTTACAAATGATGTTTGTGCAGGGAAAGTGTCAACTGAGCAGTTGTCAGTTCTTTTGACCAGACTGCTTCTCGTTCTCTTTCTAATTGCTTCCCATCCTGCCTGTGGTTTTGACAAGACTCCATTCCCCATGTGGGTCAAGATCTCTCTTTAAGTCCAAATGAAAATCATAAGACACCTAATTTGGAATGTACGTTTTGCTAGGATTTGTGAAGGCAGCCTTGGGACACATTTTGTAGTTGTTATGAATCCCCACATGGAATAAAGAGGCCTACATCTGTTCCTGAACACTGGATACCATTGCAGAACTCCAGCACTGCCAGAGGCTCTGAAACAAAGCCCTTGGACAAGGAGATTTCAGCTGCCTCAGAGCAGATTGAAAAATTAGCACTGAATGATTGCACCCAAGATCTTTTTTCAAGTAAGTGATTAAAAGCCCTTTTGTGGAATCGTTCTCTCGCATCATAAAAAAACACAGTTTTCTTGAAAGGCTAAGTTTTGGAAAAAACAGGATGTAGCCTTGTCAATCACAGACGTACAAAGCACATCAGACTTGCAGCTATTGTGCCTTTGGCATAAGTCCAAAAAATACACTTTGTAGTTTGTGTAGGACAGGATATATATGTTGAGTTTCCAACATATATATCATCCATTTTCAACATGAGTATATATATTGTGAACTAAGAATTCTTTTATGGGATTTCTACCGTAGCCCTTACAGTAAATATATACATTTATAAACACACATTAAATAAACAAATATTGATCACCGTATTTTCAGATTACGATTCTTAAATTGTGTTTTCTACAAAACTACATTTGGGAGTAGTCATGGTCTTGTGGGTGAAGGTAGCATATAAATATAACCGTTTCTTTGGGATAGACTGGAAAGTGCTGTACAGCTCCCTCTCTCACAGTTGACGATGTGTTGAGGACCCACCAGGTGGAATTGTTTCCTGTGAGCTGAAAGATTACAGGTTCTAATTCTGCCTTGGGTAACATCTCACACCCCTTTCATCCTGGCACCAGTGTGTACTGGGGATTGGTCTTCACTTGAGGTCCTCAGGTTAGACTGCGCTTTTCTTTGAAGATCTCTTTCTTAGTGTATTTTTTTCTTTATAATGATATCCTGTCCCATGAAAGCCTAGGTTTAGTGTAGCATTGCTATTTTTTAACTTAATATTGACATCTCTTTTATTTGGCGAGAATGTTTTCTTATGAACCAAATTCTTCTCAAAGCTTTTGATTCCTCCTTCCCCAAATAAATGCCATTGTT